AGGTTAGTGTCCTACGCCTCCTGACTTCCATTCCCGATCACTGCGAACAGAAGTGGTGAGTGGTGCCTCGTCACGCCAACTCCATGTCCTCCCCCCTCCCACACAAACCTCCCCCCCCCCCCCACCCCTTCCACCCAAACTCCTTCACCAAAGCGCACTGCCCAGCCCGGTGAAGTATGGTCAAACAATCCCCGTGACTGGCACGATAGCCGGGCGGTGGTGGCTATGCACGGCTGGTGGGTCACACGCAGATGGAGTTGTGAAACTGCCTTCTCGTAGGTGTCGAGGAGGCGCCATAACCCTGGCCCGTCAGGAGAAGGCCGTCTAGCAAGGTGGACTAATCGCCATCTGTTCCCATCTGTACGGGGATGGAGTGTTGCCAGCTGGCGCAAGGCGCGGGGTTTGTCCGTGTACTCCGGCTTCCTCCCCACGTGTCTACCAAACGTTACTCATCATTCATAGGCGGACAATGTCTACACATTGAAAACCCAATTGCAGGACCCTCTTGTACAGGAGTGCAGTACTATGCAGTGCTATGACTCAGTGTGGCTCTCCCGGATGAATAATTATATGATTATTATATTCAAGTATTGTTATCATTACGTGGCTAGGATTTCATCAGTGAATTAACAAGGACACAGTATCTTTTATAGATATAAACTATCCATATATATTTGTACTATTTTATATTGTAATATAAACTAATGAGGATATCTGTTCAACAAAGCAACTGGGCCGCTGTTAAGTTTGTACGACAGCATAGACGACAGTATCCTGTGCATGCAGCCAACGCCTATGGCATCGCGATGCAATTTCGGTGATTAAAAACTTTCGGTGTCAAGTTGAAGCTTTGACTTGCGGCGCATTAGCGAGGCTGGCCGCTCTCGCCGACGATGACGCAATGGGGGTCTTTAACGTCTCGGTGACTGATAGCGAAGGCAGACACATCGCTCACGCCAGAGCGGGCATCGAGAAGCGGTCCTGGAGCGAGGAATCGCACCGCCAAGTCCGCGCTGAGCGGTTCGCCACCGACGAGCGAGACTGACGAACAAAGACAAAGACCCCCACCCCCCACGTATAGCCTTTACAGACTGTTGGGGCAAGTGCTGTTAGCGAGCACCTGTGAATGGCAACAAGGTACAGGTGGGGGTGGGTGGCCATCACCACGCCCGGCCGCCTTTGTCTCCCCAGTGGCGATGTTTACTACACAGCGCACCAGGAACTCATTTGAGGCTGAGTCGACCTCGGGATGGCCCAAGACCGGTTGAGATAATCGTCGCTGGTGTTGTTGGCCGAGTTTGGTACACGAATCCACAGACATTTGTCAATCCACTGCTGGATGACGCCCTCTCTCACGCCGTGCGTGTGGGTCACGGGGTTGTTCGAGCAGCCATACTTCACCACGCTGGTACACAGGTCCTTAGCGAGGAAGTCAGACCCAGGACAGGGTGCAGATATCACGCACACTATTACCGAGTGTAGCCAAACTCACGCGTCACAGTGCGCTAACCGCCGCGCCACCACTCCACCCGTGTCTATGATCGTTTCAAATTCAGCGAAAATTGCCGTCTCGCAGTAGCGAGCCTTGAATGCACTCCTCCCTGGTCGCGGAACCCGAACCAAACGATGGACATTCCACATTTTCATTCCGGGAGCCAGTCTACTCACCGACTGTTACCGCATGTATCGCCCCCGCAATGATGATTGGCCTTAAGGGATGCGTGAGTCGCGAGCGTTGACCGCATCGTCACCGACGCGGGGTTTGACCCCGGGACTGCCCCCTCCCGTCCCCATGCATTGCCTAGGTCTGCAGAGAGGGTCTCTTCAAGCGATAGTCCACGATGCTGTTGGTGCGTGTTCTTGGCGATGGCGCGATCTGTGTGGCGATAACACAAAGTCAGCACCTCCACCACCATCACGGGGCGTTGCTGCGGAGGCTGGGAGGGGAGGGGCCGCAGAACTGCACTCACGAATTCAATCACTCATTCGTTCGTTCATTCACCCACTAAATCGCGTATTCATTCGCCGACTCAATCGCTCATTCATTCACCAACGACTTCGCTCATTCCTCCACCCACTCATTCACTCATTGATTCACCCTAACAATTGCTAATGTATTATACTCACTATCTTGGTTCAGTTATTCACTCATTTTATGATATACTACATAATTAATTGACCAACATTGTATAAGTATTTACATACGCACGTGCTAAATCATTAATTCCTTCGTTAACTCTTTAATTCAGCCGCTATTTACTCATGCGCGTATTTTCTCACTCGTTCCCTCACTCATTCACGTATTCATGTACTCACCCCCTCGACTTACTCACGCATTCACTCTTTCACCCACTTACTCATTCATTCACTCACTAATATAATAATGCATTCACATATTCGCACAATATTTCCATTAGCTCATTCACTCCCTCACTAAGATAAGATAACCATTGATCCGCTCGTTCGCTATTGCACAATAACTCATTCGCTCATGCATTCTTTTTTACTCATTGTCACCCACTTATTTGATCAAGCATTCACCTGCTCACTCATCCATTCATTCATTTCCTCATTCACTAAATATAATCACCCGTCCGCTCACTCGCTCATTATATCACCCATTTATTCACAAACTCACTCATCCCCTCACCCAACCATTCACCCACGCACTGACCGACTCACCCTACTGCACCATCCATCCCTTCTCAATCGCTGTCCCATGCACTCATTTGTTCACTCACCGACCAATTAATTCACCATTCCCCCCACCTTAAACATTCACTCACTCACCCATTCACTCACCCGTTCCCTAACCCATTCATTCTCTCACTCAATCACTCATCCATTCATTCCCTCATTCATCCACCCACTCGCGCCCATGCAGCCGCCTTGTCTACCCGCGATGCTGAATAATTGATGCGTTCGCTTCCAAGACAGTTATCTGGGCCAGCATATCTTCCATCGATCCACGTTTCATAAATAACCTTGCGCATAAATGAACTTCATAGCAACCAAAAACAACCAGTACTTTTACAAGTTGTATGCATTGCTTAAAACGCCAGTTCAGAAGCACAAGTACGAATAGAGTACAGGGCCTCGCAAACTAATCCCACACTCAAGGGGACGCATCGTGAATGAGCGCTAACCCGTCATGGCATTTCAAGTGAATCCGTAGCGATGTCCATTGCATGCTCTGTATTCAAATACATGTCCTCCCAGAATCACTTGCGGTATGAGCCAAACGCGATGCACTGAATAGATATAAACACACAATAAACAAATAAAGATCCCGCGTATAGCCTTAACAGACTGCTGGGGCAAGTGCTGTTAGCGAGTAGCGCACGAGGGGGTGGGTGGCCAGCACCACGCCCGGGCGCCTTTGTCTCCCCAGCGACTATGTTTACACATCGCGCCCAGTCCTCATTTGAGGTTGAGTTGACCTAGGGGAGAGCCAGGACCGGTTCAGATAATCGTCACTGGTGTTGGTGGCCGCGAGTTGATGTCAACTCGGGTCACACGGGGTTCGTAGCGCAGCGAACCGCGACACTGCCGCCTCCTACACGAGGCGACTGCATGGGCACGAGTGGCTGGTTGAGTTAGAGAATGAATGGGTGAGTGGTTGAGTGAGAGAATGAATGGGTGGATGGATCAGTGAGAGGATGCATGGGTGAGTGGTTGAGTGAGAGAATGAATGGGTGAGTGGTTGAGTGAAAGAATGTATGGGTTGGTGGATGAGTGAGATAATGAATGGGTGAGTGGATGAGTGAGATAATGAATGGGTGGATGGATGAGTGAGAAAATGGATGGGTGGGTAGATGAGTTAGAGAACGGGTGAGTGGTTGAGTGAGAGAATGAATGTGTGAGTGGTTGAGTGAGAGAATGAATGGGTGGATGGATGAGTGAGAAAATGGATGGGTGGGTAAATGAGTGAGAGAACGGGTGAGTGGTTGAGTGAGAGAATGAATGGGTGAGTGGTTGAGTGAGAGAATGAATGGGTGGGTGGGTGGATGAGTGAGTGAGTGAGATAATGAATAGGTGGGTGGATGAGTGAGAGAATGAATGGGTGGGTAGATGCGTGAGAGAACGGGTGAGTGGTTGAGTGAGAGAATGCATGGGTGAGTGGATGAGTGAGAGAATGAATGAGTGGATGGATGAGTTAGAGAATGAACGGGTGAGTGGTTGAGCGAGATAATGAACGGGTGAGTGAATGAGTGGGTGCGTGAATGAGTATAAACACACACACATACACTCACTGTCGCATAACGAATAAAACGTAATTCATTTTAGAGCTGAATGTCTTAACCCCGAATATGATTTAACTCCCAAAGCCGTTTTGACATTCTTTGCGCGTTCCAGACCGCATCGCAGTATTTCCCACCTCGTACATTCATTTCAACGCAAGACCACAGATCGCCTTCCCGAATCGTTATCCGTTCCCGCAATGTACGACATTCCAATTGTCTGCTTGCAACAACAACAAACATGACCGCTCACGTTCCTCGGCGAGAATTAATCAGTCGTGACCATTCCACATTCCCATGGCGCGCACGGCGTTGGGAATGGGGGGGTGAAGGGACTGCGGGAGGTTAGAGGCATCCCGTTCCGTAGAACGATCAGCACGTAACCAACAATATTCAACTCGCTGTTCGGTTAATCCCGGGTGGCAAAATACGCGACTGCCGGTCACCTTCAACAAACAATGCGAGACCTCTCGGCACGGTCTGTGGTGCTCCGTGCGCGGCACACCCCTGCGGGCAGAGAGGAGCGACGGCTCCGGACTGAGAGCGAGTAAAGTGAGAGACGTGATGAGACGCTGTCGGGCGGTGAGGAGGGAGGGAGTGGGGGAGGCGAAGAGGGGGGAGGGAGGGAGGCGTAGCCGCGAACGCAGTTCCAGACGCGAATCCGCAATGTGGCCACGTGTGGCTTGCAGTCAGCTGACGCGTGATGCGACACGCGCTGCGCAATTGTGCTGCGTTCGGCACAAAGGCGCCTCCGTATTTAAGGAGCACCCGGCGGATGGAGAGATACAGCGGCCTGTTCGGGGCCGGCAACGGGCTACGATACCACCACCACCACAACAGCCACAGCATCAGCAGCAGCATCACCAGCAGCAGCAGACTCCAACAGCACCACCGTTCCTCCTCGCACACCACCACCACCCACCACCGCCACCATGAGCTACACAGAGTCGAGCGTGAGCTCGTCCTACCGGCGCGCGTACGCCGACGCGTCCCGCGGCGGCAGCAAGCGACTGCTGAGCACCCCCTCCAGCGGGTTCCGCTCGCAGTCTTGGTGCCGGGGCAGCAGCGGCGGCGGCAGCGGCGGCGGCTCCGGCTCCCTGGTGTCTCTGCAGAGGCGCCCCAACTACGCGAGCCTATCGCACGGCTACAGCACCCCGGCGCTAAACTCGGCGGCGGACAGCCTCGACTTCATGAGCCAATCGAGCGTGTTCAGCGGGGACTTCAAGCACTCGCGCGTCAACGAGAAGCAGCTGCTGCAGGACCTCAACGACCGCTTCGCCGGCTACATCGAGAAGGTGCACGACCTGGAGCAGAAGAACAAGGAGCTGGAGACGGAGATCTCCGCCTACAGGCAGAAGCAGTCGGGTCCCGCGCGGGGCGGCGGCGTGAGCGACGTCTACGAGCAGGAGATCAAGGAGCTGCGGGAGCTGATCGAGCACATCAATGGCGAGAAGACGACCGTGCAGATCGAGCAGGAGCACCTGGACGAGGAGATCCAGCGCCTGCGCGAGAAGACCGACGACGAGGTGCGTCTGCGCAACGAGACGGAGGCGCTCATCAACGCGTTCAGGAAGAACGTGGACGACACGTCGCTGGTGCGCATGGAGATGGACAAGCGCACGCAGTCGCTGCTCGACGAGATCACCTTCCTCAAGAAGAACCACGAGGAGGAGGTGGACGAGCTGCTGGCGCAGATCCAGTCGTCCACGGTGTCGGTGGAGAGGAAGGACTTCGCGGTGCCCGAGATCACGGCGGCGCTGCGCGAGATCCGCGGGCAGCTCGAGGGGCAGTCGGCGCGCAACATCGAGACGGCCGAGGAGTGGTTCAAGGGGAAGTTCTCGCAGCTCACCGAGGCGGCCGAGCAGAACAACGACGCCATCCGCTCCGCCAAGGAGGAGATCACGGAGCACCGACGCAAGCTGCAGATGCGCTGCACGGAGCTGGACGCCTTGCGCGGCACCAAGGAGTCGCTGGAGAGGCAGCTGAGCGAGATGGAGGAGAGACACCAGGGCGACGTGGGCAACCTGCAGGTACCTGGGGGGGGCGGCAGGGGGGAGAACGGGGGATGCGCGGAGAGACGAACCCCGCGGGCTCCACGTTCAGCCACTCGACTCGCAGGAGCGGTGTTCTCACAGTCCCGGTCGCCTGTTTCGCTTCTCCGGTGCGAATGTTTTTAAAAAAAGAAAAATGTTGGTCAGAGCGTCAGGTTGTCGATTGCTTTTGTGGGACGAATTGGCTATCCGGGAAGCGCAGGACCGGTTCAGATGATAGTTTGTCACTGGCAGGGAATCGAACTTGGCTCGCAGGATTCGTGACCCAGTCCGCTAAGACACTACACCTCGGCTTTTTACGCACGCACGCATACACACCACACACACCACACACACCACATACACTTCACACACACCGCACATCACACACACCACACACACCGCACACGCGCACACATACACGCGCGCACACACCGCACACCCCACACAAACCGCACACACTTCACACACACACACGCGCACATACACCACACACACGTTCACTACACACACACACGCGCACACACACCACACACACGTTCACTACACACACACATACACTTCACACATACGCGCACACACACACGCACCACACACACACACGCGCGCGCCCCTTCACGCTGGCCGCAATGCCACTGCGCACGAAACGGCACAGCTCCTTCACAGGGTGCCGACCCTGCTCAACCCTTAATCTCGCCCTGGTGCCACTGGTGTAAATTCCGCATTATTATCAATCCATCGTAGGACAAGAGTCGACTTTCCAACAAAGTCGAACCGCACTTGTATTTTATAGAACGCATCGTGAGTCGAGTCGTCGACTGCCAGCGCGATGAGTTTGTGACCGCTGGCGCAGCGTGTCGGGAACATTTCCACAACGATCAAACTCCCGACCACTCAAACCCCGATGGAGGCGGCGGGGGTGATTCCGGCTGTAAAGCTTGCGAGCGCACGACTTGGGGAGGGTTGTTCACGAGAATTGAGAGGAAATTTAGGGAGTGAAGCCAAACAGCCACGCGGCTCGCTCCAGCTGATCTCAGCGTCGTCACCACAGCGACCCGTGTCGCATAAGCCGCAAATCGCAGTACAAATCTGTAGGACGGCATAACAGGACGGACACGTGGCGGGGTGGGGGTGGACGGAGGGGGGAGCGGGGTGGGGGGGAGACTGCGGAAGATTACGGCCAGCGAGCGAGCGAGAGCGCCGTTTCCCCGCCGGGTGAATCCACGCGATGCCTTTGGAGACATCGATTGTGGCCTCTTTGAGTTGCTAATTGCTCTGCACACGGCGGCTCAGTTGCGCACTGGAGGCAGCGGAAGTCGATGGAGCCAACGTGGGCCCCATAAAGAGACTGCGCGCAGCCTAATGGCACATTAGCGAGATTTAGTGCACGGTCAGCGATTTGAAGAAGCACTTTTGCCAATGCATATTTACTTCTCAACGAAAATGCATCGGTTTATTTTCTTAATCGGAAGATGTTAATAGAAATGCTATGATATACATTCAATGCAACATCTATTTATATTCATCGCCGCAAGAATGCGAGTTCGATGCTGAACACGCGGTGCTCTCAATGCGGGGAAACCGTCCTCGGTGTGACGTCACTGGCGCTTGATTGGCTTAGTGACGCGTGACGTCACAACACAAGGTAATCCCATGTTCGTTGACGTGACGATCTTAACCATTGCCATGGAAACATGTTGAGATTTAGCCATCTATTTGCCATCTATGACACAGCGTGCAATTAGTATTTCTTTTCAGTTTTGCTGCAAGTAGGAGCCACGTGATAAGGACACATGAATGGATGAATGTGAGGGGAAACCTTTATAACCCACATTGTCTTCATGGAAAAACTTGACCTTTCACTTTATATAATCTTCCCATAGTTAATATAATGCAGCAATGAGCTAATTAATTCACTGCCTGACAGCAAAAGCCTTCACTTAGGGACAACGATCTCCCCTTCCGTGCCGGCCTTTATCGGTGCTACTCGCTACCAGCACTTGGCCCAACAGTCAGTGCGTGTGTGTGCGTGTGTGTGTGTGCGTGCGTGTGTGTGCGTGCGTGTGTGTGCGTGCGTGTGCGTGCGTGTGCACGTTTGTGCATGGGAAGCGATGGTGTAATTGTTAGCGTGCTGCGCTACGAATCCGGCGACCCGAGTTTGAATCCCGCTCAAGGCCAACACCGGTGACGAATTATCTGAACCGATCCTGAGCCTCCCCTAGGTTGACTCAGCCTCAAATTAGTGCCTGGTGCGGTGTGTTCACATCGCCACTGGGGAGACAAAGGCGTGTGCCGTGCCTGCCTTCATAGGTGCTACTCGCTACCAGCACTTGCCCGGACAGTCTGTTGAGACTACACGGGGGATCTTTGTCTTTGTCTGCAGGATGCAGCCCAGCAGCTGGAGAACGAACTGCGCAACACCAAGTGGGAGATGGCGCGCCACCTGCGCGAGTACCAGGACCTGCTCAACGTCAAGATGGCGCTTGACATCGAGATCGCAGCCTACAGGTGAGCACCACGTGGTAGACCCCCGCCATTGTCGACGACAATGACGACAGCAATTACAACAATGACGACAACGACAATGACGACAACAATTACAACAATGACGACAATGACGACAACGACAATGACGACAACAATTACAACAATGGCAACAACAACAATGACGACTCACGTTCACAGATTTAACTGTGAGGGGGCTATGAGGCAGTTTTGTAATGTAGATTATTTTATGAGGTAATTTTACTGAAGGGTACGTAACACAGACCCCTCTGCGTTATCAATCGCAAGCACGAATTTATCATAGTTTGCATGCCAGAACTAAAACATCTCATGCAATTTGTAGATATTGTAGATGGATCTGTCCTCAATTAAATGGTTATAATATCCGATGGCCGCTCACTTTGTAAAAAAATATTTAAAGCTGAATCAGTACAAAAACGTGCACATCAATGTGCCAGTAATAGCAACACGACTGGCAGATGCAACCGATTGACCCTTGCCCGGATTCATTTGCGTAAACTGCCGTGTCCTCGCCCTAACAATGAACGCCGTCGTCTCGCGCAGGAAACTCTTGGATGGGGAGGAAATTCGCTACAGCAGTGGCCCGCTGCCGACCCCGTCCAAGCCGCCCAAGGCCCCCTCGGCAAAGCCCAAGGCGGCCAAGGCCGAGAAGAAAGTGGTGAGCAAGAAGCCAGAGATCAAGGTGGAGAGCGAACCAATCAGTGCCCAGCTTGATAACGACCTCGAAGACCTCGCACAGGAAGAGGTGATGGAAGCAAAGGCCGCTCCGGTGGTCAGTGCCGAGAAGGACGAAGAGGAGGAGGAGGAGGAAGAGAAGGAGGAAGAGGAAGCCGAGGCGGAGGAGGAAGAAGGAGCCGAGGCTGAAGCAGAGGCAGAAGCTGAAGAGGAGGGGGAGGCAGACGAAGCTGAAGTTGAGGAGGCTGAGGCTGAGGCGGAGGAGACAGAAGCTGAAGCAGCTGAAGACGAGGAAGAGGCTGAAGGCGAGGAGGCAGAGGAGGCTGGAGAAGTTGAAGAGGAAGCGATTGAACAGGCAGAAGCTGCAGAGGCTGAGGCTGAGGTAGAGGAAGAGGAAGCCGAGGCTGGAGAGGAGGAGGAGGAGGAGGAAGAAGCAGCAGAAGAAGAAGTTGAAGCTGAAACTAAAGAAGAAGTCGAGGCAGAGGCTGAAGAGGCCGGAGCTGAGGAAGAGGACGAAGCAGCAGAGGAAGAAGAGGCAGCAGAGGAAGAAGAGGCAGCAGAGGAAGAAGAAGTCACTTCAAAAAAGGCCAAAACACAAGAGGCTGAAGTTGAGGAAGAAGAGGTCGAAGCAGCAGAGGCCGAAGAGGCAGAGGCCGAAGCCGAGGAGGAGGAAGCTGGAGAAGAAGCTGGAGAGGAGGAAGTTGAAGCTGAATCCAAAGAGGAGGAGGAGCAAGAGGAAGGTGAGGAAGCGGACGCTGAACAAGACGACACAGAAGCAGAGGAGGAGGTTAAAGAAGAAGAGGTCACCAAGTCAAAGGCTGAGGCAGCTGAGGCTGAAGCAGCAGAAGAAGAAACTGCCAAGTCAGAGGAGGAAGAAGCCAAAGATGAAGCCGAGGAGGAAGAAGTAGAGGAGGAGGCTGTTGAAGAAACTGAAGCAGCAACTGAAGAAGCTGAAACGAAGGAGGCCTCGGACGATGAGAAACCCGAGGAAGAGGTGAAAGAGGAAGAGGCCCCTGCCGCACCTGAAGCTAAGAAAGCCCCAGAGCCAAAAGCAGCTCCCAAGAAGAAGGCACCCGCAAAGGTCGAGTCGCCCACGTCTGAGCCCGAGGACGAACCAAAAGCAGAAGTTGTTGAGAAGAAAGTCAAAGCTGAAGCTCCAAAACCCAAGGCCAAACCTGCAGCTGCCAAGAAGGAAGCCAAGCCGGTGGCAAAGGAAGAAGAGGAGGAATCCCCCACTGAGGAAGAACCCAAGACACCTGCTGCTAAGCCTGCCAAGGCCCCTGCCAAGCCCAAGCCCGCTCCCAAAGCAGAAGCAGAAGAGAAACCAGAACCAGCGAAACCCGCCCAGGCAAAGCCTGCGCCTGCTGCCGAGGAGGAGGAGGATGAGGAGGAGGATGAGGAAGAGGTGGAGGAGGAAGAGGAGGAGGATGAGGAGGAAGAGGAGGAGGAGGAAGTGAAACCTGAGGAAACCAAACCCGTCAAGTCAAAGCCCGCCCCGGCCAAAGAGGAGGAAGATGAACCCAAAGCCGCCAAACAGCCCCCCAAGCCCAAGGCGAAGCCCGCTGCTCCTAAAGAGGAGCCAGAAGACAAAGCAGAGCCGGCGAAGGAAAAACACTCTCCGGTCGAGGAGGCGAAGCCCATCAAAGAGGTCGCCAAACCTGCAAAAGCGGCACTGGCCAAGGCTGCCAAAGAGCCAGAAGCGGCCGAGTCCAGAAAGATCGAGGTGAAAGTGAAGAAGGTGACGAAAAAGGTGGTGGAGGAGATCGAGCAGAGCACGGAGCAGCAGGAGGAGTCGTACGAGGAGATCATCGAGGAGACGATCGTCTCCACGAAGAAAGTGGAGAAGCCGGCGGCCCCGAGCAAGGAGCCCAAGAAGGCCGTCAAGGTGAAGGAGGCGCCCAAGGCTGTGGCCCAGGTCGAGGAGTACGAGGAGATCATCGAGGAGACGGTGGTGTCCACCACCAAGAAGCACGAGAAGGGCAAGGCCCCTGCCGATTCTAAGTGAGCCCCGGGAGAGGATTCGATGCCATTCGCTCATTTATTGAGCATTGTCCAAAAGTGCAATACCGAGCCATGACGACAACAACACAGAACCCAGACCATACCCTACGATAAGAGTCAAACACTTGCACTATTAAGTTTACTTTTTAATCTATTATGCTGCATTGATGTTTCTGCTCGTAATGCTTGCAGAGACCACCGTTACATTATGTGTTGTGCATGTAATACATTAAAAGTCAATTAATATTAAGAAAACAGAATGTTAAAGAAAAAAATCAACGTTAATATGATGGAATGAATATCATTGAACAGATCTGCATGAATGCAGACTTTTGGCAGAAACAGCATAAGGGCATTATTCAGCCAAAATAGCACACAGGAGGATCTATGGTGGTGCTATTCACTCTGCTGCTGGAGTAGGCCCTACTCACGCTTCCAATAAACCAAACGTGCCGCAGTATTATGTCTCCTGGTATTGATTCGTTTCCTGTCTTGCTGCTGCTTTGTTTGGTCAATAAATATCATCATCCGAGGCTTGATGTGTGGGCTGGCGATACCCCGTGGGGAAACTTTGCCGGAGGCTCGGGGATTTAAGTTGGGTGGCCAATTTTCTCTCTCCATCACCCGAGCACCAATCCCTCCTTCTGACAAGTCACTCAGAGATTCTCGTCAAATGTCACTCAAGCATTACCTACAAGAACCCCATTAGTCACTCTCATAGTTAATTAAATTCCACCCTTAGAGACACTCCCCCTCAGTCATATCATCATTCACTCTCATCATTCACTAAACTCCACCCTCAGAGACAATCCCTACTCATCCATTCTCACCATTCACTCTCATCATTCACTACATTCCACGCTCATGAGACAAGCCCACTCAATCATATCATCATTCACTCTCATCATTCACTGAATTCCACCCTTATGAGACAATCCCTACTCATTCACTCTCATCATTCACTAAATGCCACACTTATGAGACAACCCTCCTCAGTCATATCATCATTCACTCTCATCATTCACTAAATTCCACACTCATGAGACAATCCCTACTCATTCACTCTCATCATTCACTAAATGCCACACTTATGAGACAACCCTCCTCAGTCATATCATCATTCACTCTCATCATTCACAAAATTCCACACTCATGAGACAAACCCTACTCAGTCATATCATCATTCACTCTCATCATTCACTACATTCCACACTCATGAGACAAACCCTACTCAGTCATATCATCATTCACTCTCATCATTCACTACATTCCACACTCATGAGACAAGCCCACTCAATCATATCATCATTCACTCTCATCATTCACTGAATTCCACCCTTATGAGACAATCCCTACTCATTCACTCTCATCATTCACTAAATGCCACACTTATGAGACAACCCTCCTCAGTCATATCATTCACTCTCATCATTCACTAAATTCCACACTCATGAGACAATCCCTACTCATTCACTCTCATCATTCACTAAATGCCACACTTATGAGACAACCCTCCTCAGTCATATCATCATTCACTCTCATCATTCACTACATTCCACACTCATGAGACACTCCCTACTCAGTCATATCATCATTCACTCTCATCATTCACTAAAGTTCACTCTCGTGAGAAAGTCCCACAATCACATAGAAGCCATTCCACCTCAGTCAAATCACTTGTCTGGGAATTGCTCAGTGCACTAACGGAGTCCAGCAAAGGGGTGGCACATTTCAGAGTGTTTGGCCAGGGTGAGATGGAGGTCCCGTGCAACTCTTCTGCTGGTGCCTGAACGGTGGAAGACGCAAGCGAGAAGACGCACGAAACGAACTCTCCGCGTGGACATCACATCGCACCACACGCACCGGTTCAACTCGAGGGGCCAGACTCACATCTAGATGATGGTCCTTGTCATCAAACCTTTAGCAAGAACTGTAACCATTGCCTCGGTTATTCAAAACGCAGCCATTCGTCAGCAACGATGCAGCCAACGAAGTGCAGCCAACAGTTTGAAGGAACCGCCACCTCCACGTGCACACAGCGTGACCAACATGCGCCATCTGCTATCAAGGGTTCACGGGCATGTGGGAATGAAGCGCTTCAAATGTCAATAGTGTGACATTTACCTTGATTTTTTTTTAAATTAAAATAACAGCATCGATAATGACAGTCATATTTGTACAAAAATCACCAGGTACAATAGGCACCATTTGGTGGAAAGTAAGTGAACAGATTCATCCTCGGAATGAGAATGTGGAATTACTACTGCTGGCTCTGGGACACGAATAGAGAAGATCATTATGGACACTGGCCTGGTTGGACTGTGTTACGTTGGCGCAAAGCGCAATTAACGCAACACTCAACACAATCGTCAATTATACTGCGGCCTTAAAGAGAAAAATAAATAATCGCTGGCGTTTCGGGCAATGGCCCTTATACATGACTTTGCAACAATAACTTCCTTTCGAGTTGCTGTGTCTTCGCGTAAGGTCAGTCTCTTTAACGAAAGGGTATTTGTAAAATCAATAGGTTGGGTAAAAACAAATAAACATCCTAAAACAAAATACCGCTACTGGTAGAGGCCGTGGCCCTCAACGATCATCGACTGCGGCTCGCAGCGCAGTGCGCAGAGCGCAGCGCCACCGCTCCGCCGAGTGGTGAGCGCAGCGCCACCGCTCCGCCGAGTGGTGAGCGCAGCGCCACTGCTCCGCCGAGTGGTGAACGCTGCGTCTCCACTGAGGGCGATGTTGTGCCCCGTGAATGAGAGGAGAGAGAAGCGCTCTGAGTGACTTCGCCTCATCCTGATTGCAATTGCCTGGCAATTGCCTGGCAATTGTCTAATAGATCCAAATATTACAGAGCAACAATTAATGGACTGCGGTTGAGTTTGACACTCACAATCTGTGGAAGGAAACTGTTCAGACAATCAATTTAAAAACTGCTCCTCGATATAGGTTTTTGGGTGAGATCGCGTAAATGTGTCGTTAAACCCGCCACCACCCGACGCAGCAAATTTAGTAAGGTTTGTAATGTAAACAGAACATGCCAAATCGCTACTAGTACAGCACACCGCTTGTGTGTTGGAGATAAAATGCACAACATTTACAATCTGAGTACGACGTTTCGCCAGTCATTGCAACTAGCATCATAAGGCGGACAGCCAGATTTGTGAAATCCTTACGTGTTCAACTCCAAAATGCGCAATTGTCAGCTTACAGAAACATGCAGGCATAGCTGTTTAAGGGCCGATCTCTAACTAAAACTCAACATCTCACTTAAACTCAACCTCTCACTAAAATTCAACCTCTCACTAAAACTCAGTCTCTCACTAAAACTCAGTCTCTCACTAAAACTCAATCTCTCACTAAAACTTAATCTCTAACTAAAACTCAGTCTCTCACTAAAACTCAATCTCTCACTAAAACTTAATCTCTAACTAAAACTCAACCTCTCACTTAAACTCAATCTCTCACTAAAACTCAACCTCTCACGAAGGGCCGTTGCCCGACCTTGTGACGTAGTACGTATGCTGTATTACATGCTTTTTCAATTCTGGTCCAATGCAGTGTTAATTCGTATTGTTTGTGCGCGTTAAGGACGCCGCTTTAAGCGAAGCAGGTGCATGCATTCAATCACAGGGAGCAGCTGCTCCGCCACAGGAGGATTGGAATAACATCATCACTCGGAACTCACCAAACCGGCTATTGTCTGCACCTTACACCATCTCTGTATACAGACACGGGTGGTGGGAACGGTCGGGTGTAACGCAGTGCCGGATTAAGCTAGTGCGGGGCCTGTAGCAAATGTTATAAAGAGGCCCTATTTATATAAAAAAAAACACATTTAAACACGTACATTTTTTACTTGCGTAGTAAAGTTTTATTTTTTTTATTTGCTATACAGTCGGATAATACAGCAAATTGCTAACCTTAAACACCCAGTCGTCCATAAAAGTTGAAGGCGGTATAGTACTATAGTAATAGAGCAAGTGCAGTATCACTGAACCGGAATTGATAGCTTGAGAGCATTTAGCGCATGGGCCCTTGAAAGTGCGGGGCTCGTATGTATAGCTACTACATATGTACAGCTACTATATGTACAGTATAGCTAATACACATGTATAGCTACTATATGTGTAGCTACCAGAGGTGGGACAAAGTCATTGTTATGCAAGTCCAAGTCGAGTCTGAAGTCATCAAATTCATGACTCGAGTCTGACTCGAGTCCAAGTCACATGACTCGAGTCCACACCTGGTAGCTACTTTTTCTCCGAGGATAATCCGGCACTGGTGTAATGTCGAGTCTGGAAACGAAGAATATCCGAAGACGCCGTCCGTATGGTGGAAGGGAGCACGGCTGCCTGGCTAGCTGCTGTGTTGCGAACGCCCGCTGGTATCCACATCACATCGGAGGTGAACACGACGCGGTCGCGTGATGAATGGGATCACTTATCACGACGCCGATTCTCGACACAGTTGTAGATGTAGCGCAAATCCAGACCGTGCAATATTCATTTTCACCGAGTGTGAGTGTGTCTATGGAGCGGTCGTGAGGAGTGTTACTGTTAGCGCTGCGCTACGCTACAAACCCGGCGACCCGAGGTCGATTCCCGCTCACGGCCAACGCCAGTGACGATGATCTGTACCGGTCCTGGGCCTCACCTAGGTTGACTCTGTCTACAAAATGACTACCTGGTGCGATGTGTAAACCTCGACACTGGGGAGACAAAGGCGGTCGGGCGTGGTGCTGGCCGCCCACCCCCTCGTGTGCCGTGCCGGCCTTCATTGGCGCTGCTCTCTAACAGCACTTGCCCCACAGTCTGTTAAAGGCTATACGGGGGTCTTTGTATTTGTTGTCTATAGCCGTCCCGAGGCAGAACGTGCTGGTGATGTGTGCACGTTATCCACACACACACACTCGTTCCTTCGTCTTTCTATGGATGATGTTGTTGTTGTAGAGCGACCGCTTTCATTTTACATTGAGGTGCTGGCGAGCCAGATGATCGCGTTGGCAGTAGCCGCTGTGGCAATGCCTCCTTCCTCCACACGTGTGTGTGTGTGAAACAAGTGAATACGGACCTTTTAAACAAACACGGTAATTCCTCGGACTAATGTAGATGCATATTCCCACACTATAGGCTATTGAAACTGCTCAAATACAGTGCGCAGCGGCAGTTTCAGTGTTGCGACGGCACTCCGTGTGGGTACCACGCTTCGCTAAACCCGCGGAGACTGCGAATCGATCAGGAAGCTTGCGATAACATTTGCAAAGACCCGACGCGTGCCCGCTGCTTGCTTGACCCCACAACCACCTGCGGGGAAGGGGGGGGGGGGGTACAAGAATGGCCACACATCCAACTCTGTCTCGACATGCAGGTCTCGCCCGCAGCCTGCCTCGTGCCCACAACTCAACGCGTGACTTGGTTGGTGGTGACGACGCTGCTGCCGCTGTGTTGTCAGTGA